CAGTAAAGTAAGTTTTGAATTCAAAATGGAATGATGGGTCTATAGAGGGGATGATGGAGATCTATTGAGTTAAGTTCATGGGTATAAATGGAGATTCAGATGAGTTCTTCATGACTTCAGTAGCCTTCATAACACTTATTGACCTTCGGTAATTAATTTTATTCTAAAGTTGCTTATCTTGCATTGCCAATTTCTGAACACATTGCCAAAGCCCTGGCTTACAGATTGAATAGTGGCAACAGCATCCATTTGGACTGAATTATTTCCTACTTCCACAAGGATTTCACTGCACCCCAATAGTAATAGTCACCATATAATGATAGAAAAAAATCTTTTTCAAAGTCATTAGAATAAGAGCCTAAAATCCTTTTAATCTTTTTTTCTCTTGCCTTCTGTTCTCTCTTTCTCTATCTCTCTTTAATACACGAAGATGTCACAACCTATGACTCAGAGGCCACATGCCACAGCATTGAAGAGAGACCTTAAAACTTGGTGTTAAATTATAATTTTTTAACATGACAAAAGGAGAACTTTATTAAACAAATTTAATTTTGAATCATCTTTATTAATCTCTTTGTGGTCCCTGCTCGTTTTGGGAGTTCACCTCTGTCTCCCAATTTAAAGAAAAAAAATCCACTCTTTCCCTAAATTGTGCATCATCACTTATTTCTAATAAATAAAGATACATAAAGGTTGTTCTCTAAACCAAAGGTCTCCAAACTTGGCAACTTTAAGACCTGTGGACTTCAACTCCCAGAATTCCTCAGCTGGCCACAAGTCTTAAAGTTACCAAGTTTGGAGATCCCTTCTCTATACCAAAATTCCCCAGCCTTTCTGCTTTGCAGACCGAGTTGGGGGTGGGTGGAGAGAGGGAATGATTCTGCATGAGCTGCTCGCACCCGTACCTGCTGCTTGTACAAGTGGGGATGCATGCGCTTGCTCGCCACTTCTATGGCCCAGTTCCGAAGGGCTAAAGGCCCAGTAGTGGGCCGCGGCCTGGGGTTGGGGACCCCTGTTTTATACCAAAGACTATTAAATCTATTAAACTATTATATAAGTTGTGTATATGTATATTACAGGAATTATATCTAAAGCTGCATTTAATCATTAAATGGGGTCATCATTTAAGATGTCAGACTAAACAAAAATGTATTTGATTACATCATTTTTATAATGCTGATTTATTACTGCAGCTATTTACGTATAGTTGAAAACATTGTGTAGCAAAATATGTGTGGTCAGGGAGAATTGGCCTAATGTTTTTGACCATTAAATTCCTATTCTGCTAATTGGGTAAAAAGTATAAAAATTTAAAAGTTATTTTTAATGGCATCTTCCTATGAAATGCTAAGAAAAGCTATCTGGTCAGATCAGCACCTGTGCAGTACATACAGAGATGAGACAAAATACTCTGTCTATTTAGCTATCATATTCTAATGTGCATACAATTTGAAGTCTGGAGTTTTGTATCTATAATTCACTCTCATTTTAATGTTTCACAAAAACTATAGTATTTAAGTATTGTCCAGTCTCTTCTTAAAAACTTCCAGTGTTGGAGCATTCACAACTTCTGGAGGTAGGTTGTTCCTGACAGAACAATTAATCAGTGGAACAACCTGCCTCCAGAAGTGGTGAATGCTCCAACACTGGAAGTTTTTAAGAAGAGACTGGGCAACCATTTGTCTGAAATGGTATAGGGTTTCCTGCCTGAGCAGGGGGTTGGACTAGAAGACCTCCAAGATCCCTTCCAACATTATGATGATGATAATGATGATGATGATGTGCTATTTGTCTTCATGAACGTTGCCTTTGTATGAATGATCACTGCAGACAGAATCTAAAACAGAATCTTGCAAGTATCAAATGTATTGAATCTCATTGAAGAATAGTTATCTAAGACGTAGAATACTTATTTCTGATACAGTATTCATTGCTACTCTTGTTTTGTAATGGGCAAAGGTCTTTTTAAATGTTTTCTGCTGTGTGTTTTCAAAATACAAGTATAATGTACATTATCCCCATCTTCATCTGTGGAATATGACTTCTAAGGATAAACTTTCTAGTTTTCCAGCATTCATCCTGGAAATTAGTTAGGACAAGATCATTATTGGCTATGTTACCTTTTTTCTTTCCAACCTTTTAAGTGGAGTGGCTCTTCCAGGGTTTCCTAATTACACAAGTAACTTTTTTCCAGTAGCAGCATTTGGCACCTTAGAACTAATCCACAAATCTTTCAGGTAATTCTGAAATAAATAACTGTGGATCACTGCAGAAGTATTAACACTGACAACTTGAGGCAACACAGACCTAAGTTCCCTGGCTCACAGTAGTCCTTTTATTAAGAACTTAGATAGTGAAAAACCTTTAGGCTTACTAGCTCTTTTATGTACACTGTAGGGAACTGTAGAAGGAGACATTAATTATTTTCTTTAGAAAGCAGTTTAATCCAGGCATCAAAATGAAATGAGTAAACTTTTCAACACTTCCATGCTATTAGTGAACCGGACTTTTGACATTACTTTATTATACTTAACCAGACTTACCAACATATTCATATGCTGAGGACAATTTGTAAAAAGAAGTTACTGCTGGAAATGCATTGCCACATATATCTGGTATGTTTCCCGGTAATATTTCAAAATTCTAAACAGCTATTTCTAATTCATCTGTCTGTAAAGTGACCACAATGCAGAAGACAGTCAGTTACTGGCCTGACTAATTTCAGTGATTGCAATTACAGGTTTTCCAGCTGTAGAAGTTAAATACATCATTTCTCAGAAGGCTAAGGTGATAATGTTAGTAAGTCATGAGTGTTGGTGTAGAGTTGGATAATAATTGCCTATTGTCAAAACAAGTGGAAAGACAAGGCATTCATGTAGCTTTTGAGAAGAAATGCTGATTTTTCCCCCCCTACCTAGAATGCAGTTGACTTTGGATTTGGAGAGATGAAGTGCTTATAAAGGAATTTCTGTCAGAAATGTAAATAATTGTATGGCAATGGTTTTTTAGCTTGTGTAATTCTTCCATTTTCCAATTCCTTTTTCCAATTCCTGCTTCCAAAAGAAGTTGAAGGAAAATAGATGGTGACATACTTTTACTTCTGATAGTTTTCAATGAGCTCTCAGCTTGAAATTATATACCATAATCATTGACATCTTGTTGGGAAATATAAGAAGTCTGAAAAAGAGTTTATTGATCTTAATAGTTATTTGTGATAGGCCTAAAGCTAGCAGATAATTCCATTTAAAATATTTTGTACAAATTATTGAATTATTAATATCTTATCATTGAGTTGCACATTGTATAATTTTGGGGTGAATGTGCATCACATTTTTTAAAATCACACAATGAAAAATAATGAAAGCTTTGCCTCTGAAGTGCAGCTGAGCTAGCTGAACAAGGTGTCTTAACATTATTTTTTTATTAGATATTTTTATATGTCATTCTGCCTCCCCCTAGAGGGGCATTTTATATTCTTCTCCACTGTGGATATTTTTTATCTTTCTATCTTTTATTTTTCATAAAACAATTTGGCATGAATAATGCACACAAGAATCTATCCAAAGAGTATCTATACATGAAACTGAACACTTGTATTTCAATGTAGAATTGTTGGCAAGAACTAAAAAAATGCACTTTATTCATTAAACCGCTTCAGTTTTTCTGGATCTTTTGCTACTGTAGATTAAAAAAATAACTCTTTTAGAACCTCATTAATCTACAGATGTGTGCAAACATCAATAGACTGGAAAGATAACTTTGTATCTAACAAAAGCTCTAAACTTGATGCAGAAAATTGTTTTGATACAGATATGAGATTATCTTTTTGCTTGTATAATCTTGTATTGAAACATACTCTAATTGGTGGTGTTGTTCTTGCATTTTATAAGCTGGCAAGATTTTCTGATAGTTGTGACTTGCATTAACGCTTTGATTTGTTTAATAGCTAAAAACTATACTTCCATGTAAATATTTATAAAGGATTTTCTGCCTTGACCCAGAGAAAATGGACAATTACTTTCCCAAACTCTATAAAAAAGGAATAAGGAGCATTATTATTGGAACATTGGAAGCTGCCTTAAAGTAAGGCACAGTATTTGTCCTTCTCACATAGTCTTAAAGTATAAAAGGGTATTTTTTTTCATTGTGTGTAACTCCGTGTTATTGGAAATGTCGACTATTAAACCTGCAGTTTAAACCAAGCACCTACTATCTCTTCTCTGTAAAATGGTTATGTCTTAAGTCTAAGGCAAGGGTCTTCAAACTTGGCCCTTTTATGACAGGCACGCTGGCTGAGGAATTCTGGGAGTTGAAGTCCACAAGTCATAAAAGGGCCAAGTTTGAAGACCCCTGGTCTAAGGGATCTCAGAAGCTACTCCAATTTTTGCCATCTGCAGCAGCTGCCTAATTCTTGAGGAATCTCCTTGTAGGGCTGACAAGCTCTTGTTTTCTTGCTTTCCACTTTAGGGCATTATGGAGCAGTATATGATTTTGTGGTTTGGGAGTATTTTTCTGGGACAAAACCAGATCCTGAGCAAAAAGCTAGAAGCTACAATTACAGTATTTTCTGATTAAAAACACAGAGCTTTGGCAACTGCTGCTTTCTTTCAGAATTGTTCAGAAAACAGATCGTCATCTTTGAAAGCATCACTTGAAGGAATGAGAATTCCTTGGGAGTAGTTTTAAGTTAAGTTGTTGGTAAGAATGCAGAATAAGTTTTCCATACTATTTCAGCCAGTTCAATTTTCTTTATATCTTTAAAAGATATATATATTATATCTTATTGACACACACTCAAGTCAAATGAACCTAATTTTGTTATATTACAGGGTTTTATTTATTTAAGGAACACACAATTATTGTCGATGGAGATATGTATTCTGCAAGGAGTTGTACATGGATTTTAATTCAGAAACTTACATGTAATGTTTGACAACATTAATGTCTTCAATTTCATTGATTAACAAGTAACATGACATTGTCATTTCTCTTCTTTTTAGGATCCCAGAAGCAAGCATAAGTTCAAAATCCACACATATGGGAGCCCAACATTTTGTGACCATTGTGGTTCATTACTTTATGGACTTCTGCACCAAGGGATGAAATGTGACAGTAAGATATTTATTTCATGCAGTTTTTTTAAAAAAAAATATCAATGAAGCTATTAGAGTTTTGCCTAACTACTTTCCAGTAAAATTTATTGTAGTTCCTGTTAATTACAAGTGTAGCAGTCCATTTGAAATGAATATTTCAACACATCTAGCAAAAGACTGCAAATGAGAAGAGTTTTTTCTCATGTTGATTTTTCTATAGCCATATATTAATGGAAACTTACTGGAAGAAAGAAGCATTATATTCAATTAGCAGTTGACCTGCAGTATTATGATAAAAGCATAAGCATTAAAAAAATTAAGGACAGTTTGTGGCTTCATAATAAGGCTTCATAATGCTTGATCGCTATCCTTTTGTTTTGTTTTTTGTTTTGGTTGATTCACCCTTGCAAATTGCCAGCACTAGAACCCACTTTGTTCTGGGGAATTGTTTTCCCCCTAAATAAAGCATTAGGGTCATGTCCAAAAGGTATGTGACATTTTGACTATTGCCACATGATTTCCACTGGAGCAACCCAGTGGAGCTGGCAACAGAAACCAGTGCATCCAAGTCTCATACAAAAGATCCATGGGAGAATTCTCTTGCTATGTCATTCCCAGGGATTAGTTGAAATAGGGAAAACTAGAAGGATGTAGATTAGTATAAATATCCAATACTATAAAAACCAGGACTCTCACACCAGGGTATCTGAACTTACTGATCATTAGTTTTATTTTTATTTAGAAAATTTATTTTGCCGTCTACATGGTGACTGAAGGCAGCTTACCAGATAGATAAATGCAAATACCACATATCCCTTCCCATTACAATTTTATCAAAAGGCTTTTTTTAAAACAAAAAAAGAAAAATCAAAATGAATTTATGTTGCATCAAGTGGAAGGAGAGAAGGTTAAAAAAAAATGGAGTGGGGATAGTGCCTCATGAACAATTTCACAACATAACCTATGGCAGTTTGTCAAATTCTAAGGTATCCTGCTACTAGGAATGCAACAGTAGCTGCAACAAAGAGATGAATAAAAACAGCTGTTGTCAGAAAATACACAAACTGCTGTTTCTCCTCATGTGGTTTGAATAGAACTCCTCTTCAATAGCTATAAAAATAGCAAGCTGTCACCTATGACTAATTAAATGGCTTGGAAGCTATTTTGGGGATTCCTTTAGAAACCTGCTCCTGTGGAGTCCTTTGGTGCTCTCTGAGCTTGGTTGTTTGCTTGCAGATATTTCATTACCTATCTATATAACAACATCAGTGCAAGTAAATATGGACTTGGCTTTCTGTTTATATACAGTAACTTGCCCTGCCAGTGTTTCTCCCTGAAGGTTCCTTTGATTGGGTATTGTTACTATTCCATCACTTCCCCACTGAAGGCCACTCCACATTACAATTCCCCACTACATTGCAAATATATTATCAATTCTCCACGACAATGCCTCCAGAAAATTAAAGGCCTAAAAATAGAAGATGGAATTATGGTTTCATTCAATGTCACAGCACTCTTCACATACATAGATCCACAACTCATCTGTCCTAGGTAAATACTCTTAAGATCAAAATACCCAGAAACATGGACCCCCATCAACCTCTGCCTCAATACCTACGTGCACTTTGATTGACAGATATATGAACAAATCAGAAGAATATCCATAGGATCACCACTCTCAGGACTTACAGCAGAGATTGTAATGCAGCAGCATCTGGAAAAAAACAGCACTCCCACACAAACAGCCAAAAATATGAATCCGATATGTCATAATAAAAAAGGAACAATGAGAGAAGACACAAGAAACAATCCACAACATCTTCAAAAGAATAAAGTTCAGCAGAGAAGAAGAAAGCAACAACATGCTCTTCTTTCTGGATATAGTCATCAGCAGAGGAAACAACTGCAAAAAAAATTAGAAACACATGTCTGTTGAAAAATAACCCACACTAAACAAATCCTCCCACAAGCGGAACTGTGTAAGAAAATTATTCAAATGAGCACAAATTGCAGCAACTCAGAACACCAGAAAAAGGAAATGGATCCCTATACAACATCTTCCAATAAAATGGATACCCTTGTAACTTTATTAAAAAGTGCCCGACCGTTCAACCACAGCAACACAGCCGCAAGGTATGAAAAGGATAACACTGATCATACATAAAAAAAAACATCTCAGAAACAACCAACAGACTATTACAGCCACATGGCATCATTGTAGCATACAAACCAATTAAAGCCATCAAAAACATTTTAAATAAACCAAAAGACCCAGAAGCCTAAGAAGAAAAAACATAGTCATTTACAACATAGAGTATAAAGAAGGTTACAGCCACTATGTGGGACAAAAAGGTAGAAGATTAGCAGAATACATCTATGGACACCAACTAGCAGTCAGAAGACATGATGAAAACGCCATCTGTTGTGAGATGGACAGACCCAGCCACTGTTTTAACTGGGAAATTATGAGCATCCTAGACCAAGTCAAATCCATAAACGCTAGGGAATTCCTGGAAGCTTGTCATTCAGACAAATCAGAAATAGACACATAGAAATAAACCATATTTATACATCATTCAAAAGAGACAACAAAAAGTTACAATGAAACAGAAAAGAATAGAAATCATCCACTCCAATAGCCAGTATCCAGATAAGCAGGGATTCACAGCAGGCAAGCAATCCAGCAGAAAACAATACCCCAATCAAGAAACTAACCAAGGAGAAAACCACACTCCCACCAACACTGGCAGGGCAAGGTGCTGTACATAAACAGGGAGTAAACACCATGCTCTAGCATTGATGATGCTATTTAGTTGTGTAATGAAACATCTGCAAGCAAATAACCAAGCTCAGAGAGCACCAAAGACTCTACAGTTCAACTCAGAGCTACATATAATCTCTTCTGTTGAAACTCAAGACCAGTAATAAGAAATCATTTAAGTAGTTTAAGGTAGAAAAGGAATGTAAATATTTTATTTCATCCTACAAAGCTACCTCTTTCTATCTGGATTTTTTTTTAAAATGATATGATACTACAGTTCAGGTCACCTTTCTTTTCAAATGTATGCATGTTGTGGAGAACCCTACATGAAAAGGGATCAGCCTCCATTGTTGCTTGGTCTACAGTTTTGGTAGGCTTGAGTTGTTTTTTAATTTGCTTAGTATTGCATCTACATTTTGTCTTCCCTTTTAAGAACACAAGGTAGCATCCATGGTAGTCCTCCCTTATTTTATCACCAGAGCATCAAGCCTGAGAAGCTGTACAGAGAAAGACTGAGTAGGTCCAAAGTCACTCAGTGAGCTTCATTTCTGTGGTTGAAGCCCAGCATTTTAATCACTGTGCTATGCTGGCTTTCACTTGTTCTGACTCCCCATGTTCCTATGGCTCAGTGGTTGGCTTTGAGAAAAATCAGGCATTCTTAAGACTTTGTTTCTTATGGAAGAAAGACAAAGAACTCTTTCAGTTTTTCTGCCTTTCAACTTTTGTTGCTGTTTCCCACTCTTAGATATGAGACTGTTCCATAACTAGGTTTACCTCTAGAATTAAAACTGTGTCTATAATATCTGAAGGGATTCTAATATTAAGGTATAAAGATATACTTTTCCATAATATGGAAGAACTAAAAATTAGGTATCTCAATTCTTGCAACATTTTAATTCAGCAGTTTTATTGTCAAAACAAAGCACTTGTCAAGATTTTGGTTAAAAATAGTTGTGGTCACTTGTTTTCCCAATCAGATTTTTAAAAATCAATCAAGAAATCATTTTTCACATCATGTTTCCTAGGGAATAGCTAAAACATATAATTCTTTTGCTTTCCTGATCAGGCATAACCTAGTTTTTTTTATTAATGGAACCACTATGTATGCATTACTGAATGCTCAAAAACAGAAATAGTCATTGATAGTTGTACAGTGTTTTAAATTTAATTTAATGATTGAACAATGGTCAATCTCAAAAAAGAGATTTTATCATATTGAGTTTATTTTTATTTTCATTTTGCTTTTGGTAAAGCCCTAGCAGGTATTCAATCAACTTCTGTTTTCCCACATTTTGCTTATTTTCAACTAAATGCCACCCACACAGTTTTTAATGTCTAAACTGGCATCGTTAACGTTTGTCTCAAAATGTTTGGTATGTTGGGGAATCATTGACTCTGGCCAAATTTGTTGTATGTCATTGTAAGATTTGTGTAAAAGACTGCAGCAGAAAGGGCTGTTTCTTAACTCAAAATCATGTTTCTTTTGTCTTATTTTGTTCTGCCCTGTGAGGGAGAATTACTTGCTTCCATTCGTGAGAAGATAACTGCAAACACAATTCTTAACGTATTTACTGAATGTGGAAAGAATTTTTTTTCTGAGTCCCATTATGGCCTATAAATTGACAAGTTTTTCCTAATAGCCCAAAGGAAAAATCAACTTCTCTGGCAATGTGAAAGTAGCAGTGCCAATTAGTTATTTTTGTCCTTTTCAGTCCTTAAGATATTAAATTATATATTTCCTGACTTGCAGCCTGTGATATGAACGTTCACAAACAATGTGTAATAAATGTTCCAAGTCTTTGTGGAATGGATCACACGGAAAAAAGAGGGAGGATTTATTTGAAGGTTGAAGTGACTGGTGACAAGCTGGAAGTCACAGGTAAGAAAAGCTTCTTAGATGTAATGTACCTCATTTAAGGATGCTTTTATTCATTTATATTGAATAGCTTTGAGACAATAAACATAAAAAATGACTTATGTGCTATATTCAGTAAAACTTCAGCTCCTGGCTGGAACAGAGGATTATGAATTCCCTTGAACTGGAGGATGTAATAGGCTTCTTACTATCCATCTAAGAACATATCCAGTATCCATGGTTGGAAAGTTGGGATGGAAAATGACACAGTGTGCCCATATTCTCCTTTGGGGCTTCCAGCAAGGAACACAATGTACTTTTGGCCTAATTCAGCATGATGTTTCCTGGTTATGCAACAATACTAAGAAAAAGATCTTGAAATGATAATTGATTACAAACTGAATAAAAGTCAGCAATGTGATGCAGCTGCAAAATAGGCAAATGTGATGCTAGGCTGCATTAACAGAAGTATAATTTCCAGATTACAGGAAATAGTTTTTTTTTCACCTTAGTCTGCACTGATGCATTGTATCCAACTCTGGGACTGCCCTTTCAGAAAGGTGTGGAGAAAACCAATTTGAACATACATACATACATACATACATACATACATACATACAGAGAGAGAGAGAGAGAGAGAGAGAGAGAGAGAGAGAGAGAGAGAGAGAGAGAGAGAGAGAGAATGAATTTTGGGTGGCAGGGTCCAAAAGTAGCGCCTTTTCTGCTGTGGCTCCTGCCCTTTGGAATATCATGTCCCTCAAGGTGGGATCTGCCCCCACCCCCTGGCCTTCCAAAAAGGAACACCTGCCATCTGGCTTGGGACCCCGATGGGAGCATCCCACCACGGAGGTAGATTAGGAGACGATCCCACCTCCACCCTGTTTACACATTGATTCGTTTTTATCTAGTTCTTGGTCAGTTTTAATGTTTTAATTCTTAATGCTTAATATTTTTGATGTTTTTATTGTTTTATATCACACTTCAATGTGGTTGTAAGCTGCCCAAAGTCGCTTGACAATGAGATGGTTGGCATATAAATTAAAACAATAAATAAATCAATAAAATATTCAGAGAATGGCATTGAGGATGATCAGGCAACTAGAGCCTAAATCTTAAGAGGAAATGTGAAGGAAGTTGGTATTTTAGCTTTGGGGGTGTGATAACATATTTAAAGTGTCAGCTATCACAGAAGGGTACATCAAAATCTCTCCTTTATTTTTTTCAGGGTGCAGAAAATAAACACTGTATTTAGGTTGTGTTAAAATTGAAGGCGAGGAAACAGCTTCCCAACAGTAACATGAGTTTTGACTGTGGAATTAATTTACTTGAAAAACTGATGGGCTGTCCTTTATTGAATGTATTCATTGGAAGTAGACCTCCATCTGCTAGGAATGCTTTTGCTTGGATGCTTATACCGAGTGAAGAACGTTATGAATCTATCTTCATCTGAAACTGCAAAAATAGAAAATGAAACAAGAAAGCTAGATGTTTGTTTTCTTTTTTCTTTTTAAATACTTTAGAAAACATTTGAATCATGTTTCACCGCAACTCTCAAAATGCAGGCAGGTCAATCCTACTGCTTAAGGTAGTTTGGTTTCCTTTCAGCTTCAGTGACACCTCTGAAGCAGCAGCCCATGAAAATGAAAGCTAAGCTTTCTGCAGACTTTCTTTTCAAATTAGGAAAGGCGAAGAAATATTAGATCTATTTTTATTCTTAGGTCGTTGGCAATATAATTGACACTGAATTTAGTAGGCCGCTATCTGTAATATTCCTAGCATTTGCTGTGACAAGGTTATTATGCTCGTGGCAAATTTTCCACAAGAATGAAATCAGAAATCTCTTCCTTTTAGTGTGTGTGTCACAGAGACAGTTGGCTGATTCAGGGAGTTGAAGTCCACATATTTTCAAACTGACAAGGTTGAGAAACACTGATGTGAGACACAAAAGAATCTGGTAGGGAAATCTATTTTAACAAAACTAGCTGGCCTGATATTTCAAGAGAACTGCCAATGGTAGATGCTGTTTTCTCTGTTCTCATAGCCCTGGATAGCTGAGGGAGAGGAAAATTATGGGGGAGCTCTCCTCACAACTTGAGGTGGAAGGAAGCATGATATTCTTAGCCTGGGAAGATGTAGGAGTGTCAGTATTCTGAATCATCTTCCGGAAAGTGGTATTGAGTTACCTCTAATTTTTGCTGATCTTAGGGCTTAATTTAGTGTTACCCAGGGCAGAATTCTGTAGGAGTCTGAATCAGACTTCCAATTGCTCTTCAAATGCATTGTGCTAAATAAATAAATAAAGTAGGCCTTACTTTGCCAGATGCCCTGAAGGTAGAAAAGGCAGTTAAGCTGATACAAAACTGACAGTGTCACATAAGCCTTGAAGCACTGAATTACTATCCACCTCCACTCGGCTGCTAGTACAGTACTTTAGCTTTTCTCTATTGTATGCTTCTCCTCCTCCTCCTCCTGTCTCCTAATTAACTCTTTTGATTTGCCATGCTAAAAGAGAGCACATGGCCTGCTTTTATAGCAAATTGGAAAAAGGAGTAGGAGTTTGTTTTGTTTTGTTTTGTTTTTTGGTTAGTTGGTGGGCAGTTGCCTATTAACAGTACTATGTCCTCCCTTTTTTCCTTCCTTGATTCTTCACAATCATCTATGACAGGGGTGGAGATTTTCTCCTTCTCATAAAATAGTAGACTCTGAGACCCAATAAATAAAGCTAAATGAGGGGTGAATAGCAGAACAATGGGGCTAGAAGGGACCTTGGAAGTCTTCTAGTCCCAACCCCCTGCTTAAGCAGGAGACCCTATACCATTTCAGACAAATGGCTGTCCAATCTCTTCTTAAAAACCTCCAGTGATGGTAGCACCCACAACTTCTGGAGGCAAGCTGTTCCACTGATCAATTGTTCTCACTGTTAGGAAATTTCTCCTTGGTTCTAGGCTGCATCTCTCCTTGATAAGTTTTTGCCCGTTTCTCCTTGTCCTGTCCTCAGGTCTTTTAGAGAATAGGCTGACCCCCCCTCTACTGTGTGACAATCCCTCAAATATTGGAAGATTGCTATTATATATCATCCCCTAGTTCTTCTCTTTGTTAGACTAGACATACCCAGTTCCTGCAACCATTCATTGTATGTTTTAGCCTCCAGCTCTCTAATCATCTTTGTTGCTCTTTTTTGCACTCTTTCTAGAATCTCAACATATTTTTTTTGTATCGTGGTGGCCAGAACTGACACAGCATTTCAAGTGCAATCTTACAAAACAGCATAAAGAAGTACTTACACGTCAGGTGATTTTGATACTATCCCTCTGTTGATGCAGTCTAGGACTGCATTGACTTTTGGGGCAGCTGCAGCACATTGCTGGCTTATACGTAAGTGGTTGTCCACTAGGACTTCTAAATCCCTAGATCACAGTGACTGCTGTTGAGCCAGGTACCATCTGTTCTATACCTATGCATTTGGTTTTTCTTGCCTAAGTATAAAACTTTACTTTTCTCACCACTGAAATGCATTTTGTTGGATAGAGCCCAGTTTTGAACTCTGTCAAGATCCTTCTGGATCTTGAACCTATCTTCTAAACTGTTGGCTATTCCTTCCAACTGGCTATTCCTGCCAGTTTAGCACTGTCTGCAAAGTTGATAAGTTCCCCTTCTATGCCCTCATCTAAACCATTTATGAAGATGTTGAAGAATGCTGGGGTTAAGACAGAACCTTGTTGTACCCCTGCATGCTTCCCTCCATGTAGATGTAGTTCCACTGAGGACTACACGTTGAATGAAGTTTGACAGCCAGTTACAAATCCATCTGAATTTTTCTATTCCACATTTTTTATGCCTTACTGAAGTCCAAGTATACAATGTCCACAACATTTCGCTGGTCCACTAATTTAGTTACTTTGTCAAAGAATGAAATAAGATTTGTTTGGCATGATCTGTTTTTGACGAACCAGTGTTGGCTTCTAGTAATAACTCTGCTTGTTGAAGGGAAGTTTTTCACACAGTGCTACTGAATTATGGAAGTCATTGTCCGCCTATGATAAAGCAATAGCTATTAGCTTGGATGTTTTTGACAAATTCTTATTTGTGTAAGTTTGTCAATGGCTACTAATCAAGATTGTTATATGGTACTTGGAGGAACAACAATGGGAGGAAGCAATTACCTTCACATCTTGCTTGTGGCACTTCCTACACACGTCTTGTAGATAAATAATCTGTGCTAAATATGTTTCTGTCAAATCCAGCAAGGTTGGATGCCATGTAAAATTGCCATTGTTTTTAATTCTAGCATTTAGTCCTAGTACATAAAACAAAGTCTGGTATTTATAACTTAGGTTGAAAATTCAATACAATTTTTTGTATTGAAGCTCTCCAAATGAGGGACTGCAACTTATTATGTGTTTTAGAAAGAAGAATTCTCTTCAGGATATTAGTTCCTCCTGCCTTCCCCCTCTCCCCCCCCCCAAAAAAATCACCGGATTAATTTTTTAAGGCATGCCATCTATTTCATCATTTTTATCTTCATGCATGCTCTCGCTTTCCCCCCCCCCCCATAATGGAGAGAATACATGGACATTTTCAGAAGGTGAGAGTTATGTTAAAAATTTTAGTTCTATGCCTTTAGGCTTCCCCAGAAAATGGAATCTTATGAATTGTGAAAGAATGTCTGAATTTAAACTTTGGAGCAAGACAAACTATTAGTTGATATATTATTTCTTCAGGCAGGGCCTACAAGAAGGCAATCATCGTGGGGAAAAGTTATCCATGCTTTACTGATTCTACAAAGTATCTTGAGGGAATATACACATTTTTCATGCCTTGATTTCTGTAACAATAATAAATCTCTGTGGTTAGAATAGGGTAGAACTGAAAAATATTTTCCCTTTTTTTTAAAAAAGATTTTTTTTATCCCCGTATTATTTTTAATGAATAATTCAGGGTATCAAACATACCTAATACTCCTTCCTCCTCCTATTTTCCCCACAACAACAACCCTGTAAGGTGAGCTGGGTTGAGGGAGAGTG